TTTTATGATAAGCCTAAACCCCAAAACCCCAAAACCCCAAAACCCCAAAAATGATTATAAATATTGAATTATTCAAGTAAATGAACAACAAAAGGAGTACATCATCCGATGGCCATAAGTATGATTTGGTTGATATTTCTAATTTTGTGGCGATTATTCTTATTCTTACTGTGCTTATTTACTCTTGAGAATACTTCAGGAACAATATGCATCAAGGCAACATAAATAAAAGAACCAGCTGAAACGAATAAGCAAATGCCAACCATTTTCATAATTCCATTTGTGTTAGAAAACCTGCTTTTAATTTCTCAAAGAGTATAACAGGTTATTAATGCTGCAATCGGTGCAGAAAAAGCGAATGTTATCAGATACTTGATTAATTCTCTATGTTTGATCTTTTGGCTTATCATAAAAGAGGCAAGCCCTATTGCTGCAGGAATTTTATGTCACTCCATTGCGATAAAAATAATCATCTGAAAAACTCTTCCATCCCTTGAATTTCCAGCGAAGTTGACTGCTCCAAAGGATATTCCATCAGTTATAGAATGGATAACGATACCTAGGAATGTCACAAATACAGATTTCTTCATCTCTTCTGCATTTTTCAAGGAATCCTTGCTAAAAGTATCATATTTATAGCCAGAAGTTTCACTAAGAGAGCTCCCGTGCTTTAAACTGACACTCTCTTCCTGGTCTTCGTGGATTTCTTGAGATTGATTTCTTCTATCAATCTCTTCAAGCATAATGTCTTCATTGCCAAGTTGGTCTCCTTCATCACTAAAGATGTGAAAAATTTCTTACTCATGATGCTCACCAATAAATAATTTGTCAATAAAGAGCATTAGGAGGAATCCTGAGGTGACTGAAACTCCAATGACCAGCCCGAGAGTTTCTAGGGCTTCGCTGTTTATCCCTTGGAATTTCTCTATATGGATCAACTGATTGAAAATGCAGTAGGATTTTAGGGCTGATTGATTCAAAACTTTACTGTACCTCCATTTCGATACACTTCAGAAGAATAGGATTCAAATATAGTGACTGTAGCTTCTGGTATCATAATGATGAACGCGGCTCCTACCAGCATACCTGCACCGAACAAGGATAGAATATTGATGTTCTTTTTTGAATTTGCTCAATAGAGAGGAACAAAGCCGAAGAGAGTTGTAAAGACCCCCATTCCAATTCAATAGAGCCATAAAATCCACATTTTTAATTTTTATAATCCTCAAAATAATCAAAATTTGAGGGGTTTTGGGGTTTTGGGGTTTTGGGGTTTTGGGG